CTCATCCACTGAGTGCCTCCTGGAATCCTTCACTCAGGGATAATTTGGCCCATTCGTTGAGTGCTTATGGGAAGCAAGGTATCACGGGAGAAGGAGAGGTGGACGATTTTGTGACGGCCCTCTAGGAGCTATCAAACTGGTGGGGAGGGTCAAATATGTTCCCAAGCAGCCATACTCAAAGCAACTCCCTATCAACCAACAAGGAGGGTTGTTACCTGCGGAGACGAAGTCGAAAGGTTCTGTTTCAGTGTTGAGGTGATGAGTGTGTTTGCTTGTTTGTAGAATTGCTTTCTTCCTGACTAGAACTTAAAGGAAATAGAAGCAGGGGTTGACCCTGTGACATAGTGGTTAATTTTGGCTCACTATGCTTCAGTGGCCTGGGTTTGCAGGTTCGGATCCTGGGCATAGACCTACACCACTCATCAGCCGTGATGTAGAGGAAACCCACATATAAAGTGGAGGAAGACTGGCACAGATGTTAGCTCAGGGCTAATCTTCCTCAGCAAAAAAAAAAGGAGCAAATTTCCCTGTCCTGTAACAAAATGAGCCTGAGGTGAATCCTGTTGTGTCCTTGACACTTTAAAATAGCATCTCCTAAGAAATCAACCTCTGGAAAGAGGGAGTCAAGGAACTTGCTGGAGTTCACAAAGGCTAGCTGTCTACAGAATAATGTATGAGAGCCAACTGGTCTGCCAATCAGACAATCTGTGCTAAGCCAGCAAGACTGCAGTAGATTAGAGAAAGCACTGAGGGCTTGCTCTCTTCCCCCATCTTCACTCACAGGGTGTAGTACCCCCTGTCAATGAAGCCATTTGTTAAAAGACAATCAGGCAGGGGCCCAACTCTCCAGGTCAGGACTGGTTGAGTAAGCTCCTCAAAGAATGTGGCCCTTGGCTGACGCTGAGATTTCAGCATCCTGGGGCTCCCCAGAAGCACAGTGTAGCCCCCTGCCTTCTCTCATCTGGACACCCAGTGTGAGTGGGAAGAACTCAAGCTGGAAGCTGGGTGCCTGTATGGGAGTCTGCGACTTGCCCAATCTGCTGCTCGTCCCTGAGCAAATCTCTCATCCCTAGGCTATACACTGACCTCAGGAGCTCAAACGAGAGATCTGAGCAGGTCTCGGTTGCCTTAAGCCCCTGTGGAGTAGGACCTTGTTGGCTAAGGTCATTCTCTGGACTGAACAAGCAATTTCCAAAGGAAGTCCCATGTGGAAGTAAGAGAGGAGAGGGAAACTTACCCAGTCAGCCAGAACAGCACTATATACTGGGCAGTACCCAGGGACATGAGCCACCCACCTAAAGACACTGAACTCTAACTTTCCAGGGCCCACATTCTTTGCAGAACAAGGAATAAAACTTAAGATAGGAGCCAGCAAGAGTCAGCAAGCAGGGACTTGCAAGGGATGGGATTTGATCAGTCTCCAGTCAACAATTGTTAATCACCCACCCTGGCCTGGGGACACAATATGATTAAGAAAACTAGGGGCTGATAGATTGAGCCCATAGGCTAGTGGAGAGACCTGTCGGTAAACAGCAGTTAAGAGATCATTTCAGATAGTGAGAAGAAAATATACAAGAGTCATGTGCTAAAGAGTGGCTAGAACTAGAGGGAGGGGGTGAGAATTGGGGGGTTGGGGCAAACCTTAATGAGAAAAGGGCAAATCAATCTGCCCTCCTTTAGAGGCAAGAGTGACATTCAAGAATCAGACAGGAGGCCTGTGTGCTGAGTGTGGTGAGCAAGAGGAAGAGGGCTGAGAGATGAGAGCCTAGGGATGGGAGGTGCCAGCTGGTACAAGCCCTCAGAACAGACTTCAACTAAACTAACCTGTCACATTGCAGTGGGGCATGCAGAGGTCATGGACTTCTACCATAAACCCAGAGAAACAGGGGCGCTTTCCCCTGAAGAGGGGCATCAAGAGTCCATCACAAGCACAGCTGTGAAGCCTGGGCAACCCAGTACACAAGCATCCTGCAACCACAGACGTGGACAGACCCCTCGCTACAGGCAAACAATATCAGCCACCTGGACTAACCAACGGTGAGCCACCCAGGCACTGAGGGCCCTCTCATTATTCCCAGATGCACCCACAGAGTCACTCCCCCTCGTATCATGTCTTGATGCAGGGGCCCAACACCCGTTCCTTTATACCTCCCTCTGCACGGTACAAATCCTTCCAGATGCCCCGCTAAGGCAGTCTTCCGGGGAGAGGAAACTTAAAGTTGGCTTCCTGGACAGGGGACATTGCCTTCTCCTAAATCTCTGAGACCACCTTCCCACCTTCAGTGAGGCTTTTCTGAAGGCTTGAGGATCAGGGAAGGGAAGTAAAACTGCCAGCGGCAGTGTGGCTACTCCCAGGCCCATAGGCCAGGCCCTCCCTCTCTGCCTCACTTCTGGAGTCTCAGTGTGGCAGGAACCAGCGCACTGCCGATTCCCTGCACGCCACCTCCAGGGTGGGCCACAGGCAGGTGCGAGGCTTAGAGTTCTGGCCCTAGTAGCCCTGAGGCCTAACACAGAAAGGAAGTTTCCCTACCCCACCACAGCCTTGCCCCTGCCCCAGGGTGCCCTCCCCCCAAGAAGTCTGACTACGTATCTGTTCCTTTCAGGGTCTCAAGCCAGTGACAATGGCCACATGGGGATGCCAGCCCTCCAACCCCACACAACCCCACCCCGGGTTGCCAAGATCAGCCCAGTTCTTTGTCACGGTCCCATGTCCAGAGTGAGGAGACACTCACCCCCACACCTATCCTGATGCTCTCAGGCCCTCAGCCCTGCTCTGCAGGGAACAAACCCTCCAACAAGAGCCTACAATTTCCCAAAAAGCAGCCCAGCATGCAGCCTAGAGCATTCTCAGTTCACAGAGATGGACCACTTTTCTCTGCCTCCTCTGGCCTGGCTCTGTCCCTCAGTGTGTGTGGAGGAAAGGACAGATAACCCCTCCGTGACAGGTGCTTTATACAACTGCCCCAGTACTTGCCAGATTCTGTCTTGAGTTGTGGGCAGTTGCAAAAACTCCTTGGGGACAGCTACTACTTCCTGTGCAGTTTGTTCCCCTTCCTCTGTGTACACAAACACACACACACACAGGCACACACACCCCTCAAATGGTGCCCGGTGTGATGAATGAACAAAGGGATGAATGAATGATGAAAGTCATTCCGAAAGATGCTTACCCTCACATGCCATCACCTCTGACTTTATCTTTTTGGAACTCCTACATTCTCAGAGGAATTTGGAAAGCCCTCAAGAAACACTTCAAAATTGCCATATGGATGAAACGACAATGGCCCTCCAGAAATTTACCTCCCAGGTATTTCTGGTGAAAACAAGACAGGAGAACAACACCTCTTCCTGATTAGAGTCAGCTCCCTTCACCTCCCTGTCCCAGAAAACTTCATAAAAGGCTCAGAATCCCCCAGACAACCACACACTCTTCGCACCCAAGCCAGACCTGCAAGGTGCCCACTGTGCCTTCGTGGCAAGAACTGCACCCTCCAAGAGGACAACACCCCAACCAGGCCCAAACCACCACCCCACTCTAGAAGTCCTTGGGGCCTACCTGCTACCTCCCTCTCAACAAGGCTGTTGACTGAGGAGTTCGTTCTGAGCTGGACATTGTGCTTCTGGTGAGTCTCTGCTTTTAATCCAAAGATACTCTTTCCTAAGGAAACATTTTCCTGTCAGAGGAAGCTAGCTCAAGATGGAAGCCTGAGAGTGGTGGCATGATCGCTCCTGGCCTTCACTCATTTCGTCAGCCAACACTCATGGAGCACTGTCACGTGTCAGGCAGGGAGATGAGAGCTATAATCCCAGCCCTGCAACAGGTACATTAACAGTAAGGGAGACAAGCAAACCAAGCACAATGAGGGAGTTTGCAGAGGGTTAGAGGCACACCACACAGAGGAGGGGCACCAACAACCCAGCTTGGGAAAGGGCTCGTCATGGAGGCGGTGAAGCCTGAGCTGAGTCCCGAGGACTAGGAGTTGGCCAAACTACAAAGAGGAGATGGTGGTACAGGCAGAAAGAACAGGTTGTGCAAAAGCACAGAGGCTGGAATGGATCTCACATTCAAGCGACTGCACATAGGTTAGAGGGCTGAAGTGTGGGAGAGGAGAGGAGGGCAGAGGATTCCATGGTGGGCCTTGCTTGCCTTGCTTTGTGGGGTTTAGACTCATCCACAAAGGGCATGGGGAGCCAATGATGGGATTTGAGCAAGGGCTTGATGTCACCAGATTTGCTCTGTGGAGAGATATCTGGCACTGACGAGTGGGGAATGGATGCACAGAGTTTCCATAGCAGCAACGAACCACTAGGAAATGATTTAAATGACCTAGGTGACAGAAGGAAGAAGGGTTTGTACTACAATGAAGTGTGGGGATAGAGAGAAATCTACAGATACCAGGTATTCAGGAAGTGCTCAAAAGAAGCCTGTTCAGAGAACTGATAGTGGGTGACGAATAGATGGATGGGTGAGTCCTTGGGTGGCAGTGACTAGGATATATTCTGGTCAAATGGCTTATCCTGTGAGAGAGGCAGTGGGGCAGGGGGAGTGGAGGGCTTGCCGTCTTGCTTTAACTACTTTTGTATTATTTGAAACTTTGAAAGTTAGCGTGTATATTAACAAAAAGCACAAGAAGGATAGTTTTTAAATCACTACTACTTCCAACATGTAACTTTCCTACTTGCACACATCGTCTGTTAACTTTGATAGATCATTTCCGGAACTATCACATCAAAAATCACTCCGGTGAAAACATATATTGAAAAATGGGTCCTGTGAGGCAGCCTCATAGCTTCATATTTAGATGTTGGATGATTTTCCAAACCTTTCATGTTAGGGAGAAAAAGTAATCTCTAGTCAGTAGTTGTTGAATTCTGAACTATCTATCCATTTTATTGACGTTTCGGCAGAATTTTTATAAAACTTTACACAATCAGATTTCCTCATCCCACATTGCTCACTAATTAGGGAAGATCAACCACCTAGAGTCTGGGCACTAGGCATGGCCAACATACTCGGGTATGCCTGCTATGTACTAGGTGCTGAGGGAAACTTACATATGAAGGAAGCCCTCATGGGGACTAGAATGGCAAGTGGTCACTCATTTTCTTTCTTTTTTTTTTTTTTAAGGACTTTACTTTTTTCCTTTTTCTCCCCAAAGCCCCCCGGTACATAGTTGTATATTCTTAGTTGTGGGTCCTTCTAGTTGTTTCATGTGGGACACCGCCTCAGCGTGGTTTGATGAGCAGTGCCATGTCTGCGCCCAGGATTCGAACTGACGAAACACTGGGCCGCCTCCAGCAGAGCGCGCGAACTTAACCACTTGGCCACGGGGCCAGCCCCAAGGTCATTCATTTTCATCTATTTATACAGGTTTCCGAAGCAGCCATGGCAGCAGTACCCAAACTCACTAGTGAAAACACAATTTGCAGGTCAGTGTGGAGATTGAGACCAATGATGTGAGCAGGGACCCCTTCAACAGTGGAGTCTTACCTGTGCTTAGAGACCAGATTTGCCCCAAACCTCTTCTTTCAGTGGCGAGGAGGGTTCCAAGTTGACCTGGGGTGAAGACTGATTTCTCACTGCAAATCCAGCCTTGAAACCCATAGGCATCCAGAGGTTGTTTCTGCAGGGCCTTCCTGCAGATGGCAAACAGGAAGAAAAGATTCCAAGTGGCCACTACAGGGCACCTCTTGGCAAAGTGTGGCTTGAGTGCAAGGGAAAGCTCAGATTTCAACTGGGCTGGAAGTTAGGTCTCAGGATCCAAAAGGAGCACCCGGGGTACCTGCCTGACTCCTACCCTGTTCCATGTATATCACCATGGAATTTGCCAACTTCAGCAGCTTTAGGGGGCATGCTGTTTGCAGATTCCTATTAACAGTGAAAACTCTTTGCAGGGAAAGAAAAATAAACTTGTCTAGGAGACACAACTGAGTAATCTCTCTGTTTTTAACACAGTGGCAATAAGAATGACCTGTTCTTTGAGGCGGCTGGTCCCAAACAGATGAAGGTGAGATGGTGGGCTTAGCTCACAACTCTCAGAGGGGCTGTAACACGGGCATCAGAAAGCCCACATTCTGGTTTTGGGTCTGCTCCTAACTTGACACATGCCTCAGGTAAGCCACTTAACCTCTCTGGGCTTCAGAGAAAGTTGCATTTATCATTAGCAATTAGTTACCAAAAACGCCATTTCCATCTCTCTGATATCAAGACGGGGAGTTCTCTGGCTTGACCACCTTGACACGCTCACTCCCTTGGTCTCCCCACAGGCTAGCTTCCAAGATCTGGACCTCAGCTCCGTTGGAAATGGGGCCATCATGTTGCACATCTCCCAGCAGCTCTACAACAAGACTTTCAAGCATGCCGCATCAATCATTGTGGCTGTAGAGAAGCTGAAGAAGATACCCATTCCCTGCTCACAGGCCTTCCAGGATGATGACTTGAGGAGCCTCTTCTCCTTCATCTTTGAAGAAGGTACTTAATGAGAGCTGAGGGCAGACAGGAGATCTTCAGGCATTTCCTTCTCACTGTCCAAAACTCAATAGTCAACGAAACATCCCCAAAGCTGAAGCCCTTTAAAAGTAGAAGGCCCAGTGATGAGAGGAAAGCAGAGAAGCCTAGAAGCCAAACTAATCATCCCTTGAGTTGAAACTATTCTTAAAGTAAGACCTTGATAACTACTCACATTTGCAAATCTCTCCATCATTCTCAGAGTGCTTTCGCTTACATTATTTCCTGAAAGTCTCACTGTGTCCCTGTTGGGCCAGTGTTATTGCCTTCGCCATTCTACATAAGGAGCTCTATTGACGGTCCACAGCAAGCAATCGAACTGAAGCTTGAATCCGCATCTTAAGGTGCCAGGTCCAGTGTTCTTACCCACCTCAACTTCCTCCCCACCAATGTTATAATCGAACCTTGGCTGCCATGCTCAGTTGTCGTCTGAGCAACCAACTTCTGCTGCCTCATATCATCAGGCACGTCCTTCTGATTTTCTCTCTAAACAATATATGTATTCCACATTTCAGAACCCATCATCTGTGACAAGCAGAATGATACTTATGAGAGTTATTCTCCTGTGGAATCGCTGGACATCAAACTTGAGGACATAGAGGAAAAAGCCCTGGTACTGTCTGGCTCATGTATGCTGAAGGCTGTCCACCTCCAGAGAACCCAGGAGAACCAGGAAGGTAGTTGGGGACATCGTGATTCCTTTCTTGTTCTTCTGTCATCGAGTTAATTTTCTACATTTTTCAGCAAAGTAGAACATTAAAGCACATTATCAACATAAGTGAAAAAAACATACAATAAAGAACACAAAAACTTTTTGCTTTGGTCCTAGCAAAGACACCAGATTGATTCCTTTAGCGCATTCATTTTTCAGCAAGAGATGTGACTCTGAGTCATTAGAACACTCAAGCATACCCAGGACCATTGTCCAGCCAAGTCACTTAATGAGAGTACAACGTCACTGCTTCCATTGGAAAGGGGTCGTTTGATGGACATGACCTAACTGCCAGTGGGTTCTTTTTTCCTGTTGTTGAAATTGAGACTAGCATGGCGAAGAGATAATATGTCCATCCTCATTCCCAATCCTGCCCCCTTACACCCTCACATCCTTCCTGCCTAATACCAGATGGTTTCTTGTAGGGAAATTTTACTGACAAGAAGGAATTTATATCTCTCTACTGTAATTGGCTATTGTTTCAAAACTGGGGAGCCCATGAGTTGAGGGTATCTGCCTGGTATCTTGTCACTGTGGCTGAACTCTGCATGCAAGACTGTGCCCAAGGGAACAGCAGAAAGGAGCAGCCTGTTCTCTTCCAAGGCTGCTGACCTTGGAGATAGGCATCATTGGGGGAAAGCTTCCTGCTCTCTGCCATGCTTGGACAATCCTGTTTCTCTAGAACTGGATTGTAGGCACGACCTCAGGGCCTCCAAGTGAGACCACTGTGACTAAGGAAGATTGAAATGAGCGTCTCTCTTTGGAGCACTTTTCCCAGCTAAGCCTCTCATTTCCCAAGATCTTCCCACTTGCAGCTCTATGTTCCTGAAATAGATTTGTGCCTGATTTCTTTCAGGAGCCCAGCTTGATCTCTTTTCTTGCCTTTCACACTGATCAAAGCATTCCGCTCATGCAGTGGGCACTTCACTGGCCATTGACAAGAAGGCTTCCTGTTTTCCTTCAGTTGTTAAAAATTAGACCTCTAATTCTTCATTGCCACTGTGATGAAGCTCTGAGAAACCCCTAGACATTTTGGGATGGAAACTTGAATCAACCAAGTGGCCGTGATATTGTCTGTGAGAAGCCAAGTTATCCTATCTGTTAGGCCATAGGAACCCGAGTGTGGGTTTCCACAGAGGATGCTAAATTGTAGGAGTCCTGGAGTTGGGGTCCAATGGTTGGGCCAACCCTGCACTGCTGTGTGTCCCTGACCACAAGGCCCCTCTCCTTTCTCCAGTGGTGTTCTGCATGAGCTTTGTGCAAGGAGAAGAAGAGACTGACAAGATACCTGTGGCCTTGGGCCTCAAGGGAAAGAATCTGTACCTGTCTTGTGGGACAAAAGATGGGAAGCCCATCCTGCAGCTGGAGGTGAGTACCAGGAGCTGCAGGCCCTTCTCGGCTCCTCTGAAGCACCCCTAGCCATCCCTTACTTCCAAGACAATCACCTTCTCCCTTCAGAAAACCTGGGAGTAGATATATTTGACAATTGTGCATAAATGTAAATAAATTTAATGCAAGTGTTAAATGCATGCAACGTTCGCTCCCACCAAGGAAAATTAAATCATCCTGCTGATGTTAGTATGTCCTACTATTGTTACCACCCCACTGATTACACAATGCTAGGGTTGAAAGGATTATACATTATTAGGATTGCTCCATTTGATAGATGACACTTCGGGAAATTAATCAATTCAAGCGACCTGTCACCTGTCACCATCTCCACTCCACTCCCATAAGCAGCCTCCCCCTGACCCCCATCAGCGTTCCCAGCAAAACCTTTATTTCCAAGTTTGAAGTCATTCCAGCCAGAGCCATAAGGAAAAATACAACAAAAGTCCCTGGAAATTAGATACTCCTAGAAGCTCTAACCTAATTTTGACTTTTTAAAAATATTCCCACCTATATTATGCTCCCTAGCGTTTGATACTAAGTTTCAGAAAAGGATAAGCGCTTCTTTAGTCACCCCACCAAAAGTTATGGTCACAAAGATAACTTAGGAGTCTAGCTCCTGGTCCTGTGACCCGCTCATCAGCTTCCTTTCTAGCTGACACAGAGAACATCTTTACCAGAGTGTCTTTGTCCCTTTCATCACAAAACTTCTTATTTCCATTTTTCTGCAGTCAGTAGAACCCAATGCTTATCCAAGGAGGAAAATGGAAAAGCGATTTGTCTTCTACAAGCTGCAAATCAAGGGCAACGTGGAATTTGAGTCTGCAATGTACCCCAACTGGTACATCAGCACCTCTCAAGCAGAAAATCAGCCCGTCTTCCTAGGAAATACCAGAGGTGATGAGCATATAACTGACTTCATCATGCAACTCCCATAAATAGAGTTGTACCGAGCGAACCCACATGTGGTGAATAACACTAAGGATGGCAGAGGGAAATAGAAAGGTTTGAACGTGGCTACAGCCTGCACTTCACTGTTATCTAATCAATGCCCAGCTGCCTTCTCTATATTAGTGCTAAGTAGATCTCATGCCCACCAGCCGGGTGGAGCAGCCCCATCTGCCAGGGCCAATACTCAGACCCCCTCTGCTAAGAAGGGCCTCTCTCACCTCTGCTACTCACTCAAAGACAGCCTGGTAGAAATCTCTGCACTTCAGGTTCAAAGAAACCCTCCGTCCTTTGCACCCAGCTTCTGATGAGCACTGCTTAATTATTTATTTATTTATCGGCGGGTTAGTCTATTTAATTTAATTTAAGGGGGCCAAGAAGCAGCACTGTCTGTGAAAGAGCCCAGTTTTCAATATCTATGGAACCAGATTAATTTGGACTAGTGTACCATCTTTATATCAAGTCCTTTCACCAAGCCTGAAAATATGTCCGCACAGATTATAAAATAGGAATATTTATGAGGAAAGAAGCATGATCACACTGTTTCAATGATTCTGAAATAAATTTTGCTGAAAATAAATTACTGTCCACGTGGTAATTGACTTTCTGGGACCTGACAAAGAAAAGAGAATTGGGACCATCAGAGTTCTCCTTGAGGAGCTAGTAGCCAATTCCTCATGACTGAGCACTACAAAGTAACAAGAAACATCACTGGCCAGAAAGACAAGCCTCCCTACCCTTCCCGTTCAGTTCTGTTTTTCAACAAAAGGACATTTGATGCACAGTGGTCATAAAACAGGACCAGGTGACACATTACAAGGAGTAAGGGTGGGTGGTAACAGCTTCAATGATTTCTCTATTCAGTTATTCAACAAACATTTACTATACAAGTGCTATGTCCTAGAGGCTGGAAGTACAGAAACAAGAAAGGCAGGTAGGAGAGGCAGATGCATACAAGCAAAATTAAGGCAACATGACAAGTAGAGGTGAGATCAAGGATGAAAGGAACAGTCAGAAAGAATGACAAGATTTGCTGTGAGGGACGAGGGTCAAGAGGGCGACATATGAGTCAGGCCTCAAAGGATGAACAGGAGTTTCCCACATAGAAAGAAAGGAAAGGGCATTCTCAGTGGAGGGCCCAGTACGAACAAAGGAATGGAGGTACGAGAAGGAAGGATGCAAGCAGTACACTTCCAGGATGGCAGAAGTCACCAGAAGAAAGGCAAAACACAAAAACAACCCAGGGAAAAAGTATTGTAACTCCTATCTCAGACAATGGGATAATTGGCTTGATATATAAAGAGTTCCCTCAGAACATTAGAAAAATAAGAACAAAAATCCAACAGAACAATATATAAACAGGCCATCGACAGAAAAGGAAATGCAGTTAGGTCTTGGCGAGAGTAAAAGATGCTCAATATGACTTATAATAAGAAAGTTGCATTAACAGCTCTTTGAGATACCAATGTTCGCCTATCACATTAGCAAAAATCAAGTTTAACGACACATCCTGTCGGGAAGACTGTGGGGAAATCTTCACTCTGACACATTACAGGAGGGAGTATAAATCGGTACAACTCTTGTAAAGGAAAAATGGATAATAACTATGAAAATTACAAACGCACATCCCCTTTGGGCCAGGAAATTCACTTCTGGGGATTTGTCTACAGATGGACACGCACTGCTGTGACATAGCACATGATCAAAATTATTCATTGCACACTACTTGTAATAGCAAAAGATTGGAGATAACTCATGTCTATCAACAGGAGACTGGATAAACAAATTATAGGACATCATACAATGGAATGCTATGCAGCTATAAAAAAGAGTGAGAATGTATTCCAAACCAATATGGAATGAGCTCCAAGATCTGATGAAAACAAAAACGAACAAGAGGCAGAGAGTGTTTGTAGTACATTTATGGGAAAAGGAACAGAAAAAAAATAAGGCAATAATTCCAAGTGTGTTTGTATTTGATTTCATAAATTTTGGAAGATACATAAGAAGTTTGAAAAGCAGCTATGACAAGGCTGGAAGCAAGACATTTCTCTAGATACTTTCTATATGGTTTGATTTTTGAATCATGTGAATATATTACCTACTCAGAAATAAAGATGATAACAATTTTTTAAAAGACTTTTGTCCAGAAAATAATCAGTATATGACTTATTTGGGAAAAGAACTGTTGAAATGTGCCAGTCCTCAGCAGCTCACTCCTAACACCCTCTCCTCCTCCTTCCTCACAGCTCTCCAAGCTAGACCACAGGATACAGACCGAGGCCCGACAACCTGGCAGAGCCTTCTCTCCCACCTCTGTCTGCTTCGTAACTGCAGTGCAAAGGATGGGACGGCTGTTAGGAGCAGGCAGCCAAGTGGCGCCCATTCCGCAATATGTAAGGGGCTGGGAGGAAGCAGGCAGCTGGTCTGCAGCAGAAAGCAGAGGTGTCCCTGGGAGCCCCAGCAGTGATACTGTGCCCTTTCCTCGCTTGAGTGATACAATTCCACCCACCTGTCTCAGGTCCAAAAGGGAGTACACGCCAGAAAGGATAACAAACTGTGAAGGCATCTCACCTTGTGCGGAAGCCAGATTCCAAATCACCTATGTGAGGGTAGGTTGGTACAGCCATTTTGGAAGGAAAATTGGCAGTGACTAATTTATGTTTAACATGCTATGACTCAGCAATTCCACTATTTCATATCTTCCCCAAAGAAACAAGTTCAAGGATGTTTACAATAGAATTGTTTATAAGAAGTTTAACAATAAACAGGAAACAGATGTAATCAGTAAAATGCTTTTAAGCATATCTGCATATTACATTAGTATAAAATTTCATGGGGGAAATGAATGCAAATCAGTTCTAGGAGAAAAAGGACTGTTGTAAATTTTCTGGGAGTTGTGAAATCAGTTAACCAAAGGGGAAATTTCTCAGCTCTGCACTTCTGCTTTTGAAGACCATAAAACAGTGAGGGAGAAATTGGTAGTCAGACACTTCTTCGAGGCACGACAGGCCACTCCAGGATTCTGTTCTCTCCAGCCAGTCTTCAGTGCTCAGGTACAACTTTAACTCTTCCTTATGACTAGGTTCTAGGGGAGTCTCTCTGTCTTTCTCCCTCCGTCTCTTTCTCTCCTTCCCTCCCTTCCTCTATATCTCTTCCAAAAATGCCCGGTATACCATTATGCTATGACTTGTGAAATAGCCTGGGAATGAACACTGCCTATCTAGCAGCTGACACCTGAGAGATTGGTGTCAAAGTCTCTGCCCCAGATCTCCTAACAAATACACTCCTGATTTGGGTTTAGTTTGGCAAATGTTTTCCTCTGGACCCAAAGGAAGGCTCTTTCATGCATTCACTCATTCATTCAAACATTATTTCTTTGTATGCCTACTATGTTCTACTTGCTGAGGGAAACTCACATATGAAGGAAGCCCTCATGGGGACTGGCATGGCAAGTGGTCACTCAATTTCTCCTCTTTACACAGGTTTCTGAGGCAGCCATGGCAGCAGTACCCGACACCAGTGACATGATGACTTACTGCAGGTAAGTGGGGAGACTGAGACTAGTAATGTGAGCTGGGTTCACCTTTTAACAGTGGGCTGTAATCTGTGCTTGGAGACCAGATTTGTCCCCAAACTCTCCTTACAGTGGCAAGGAGGGTTCCAAGTTGACCTGGGGTGAAGACTGATTTCTTACTGCAAATCCAGCCTTGAAACCCATAGGCATCCAGAGGTTGTTTCTGCAGGGCCTTCCTGCAGATGGCAAACAGGAAGAAAAGATTCCAAGTGGCCACTACAGGGCACCTCTTGGCAAAGTGTGGCTTGAGTGCAAGGGAAAGCTCAGATTTCAACTGGGCTGGAAGTTAGGTCTCAGGATCCAAAAGGAGCACCTGGGGTACCTGCCCTGCCTCCTACCCTGTTCCGTGTATATCACTATGGAATTTGCCAACTTCAGCAGCTTTAAGGGGCATGCTGTTTGCAGACTCCTATCAACAGTGAGAACTCTTTGCATGGAAGGAAAAATAAACTTGTCTAGGAGACGTAACTGAGCAATCTCTCTTTTTTGATACAGCGGCAATGAGAATGACCTGTTCTTTGAGGAGGATGGCCCAAAACAGATGAAGGTGAGACCATGGACTTAGTTCCCAACTCTCAGAGGGGCTGTGACACGGGCATCAGAAAGCCCACATTCCGGTTTGGGGTCTGCCTCTAACTTGCGACATGCTTGGGGTAAGCCTCTTAACTTCTCTGGGCTTCAGAGAGGAGCATTTGTTGTTAGCACCTCGGTTACCTCAAATGCCACTTCCACCTCTCTAATGTCAAAACAGGAGTTCTCGGGCCTGACCAGCTTGACACACTCACTCCCTTGGTCTCTCCACAGGGCAGCTTCCAAGACCTGGACCTCAGCTCCATGGGCGATGGGGGCATCCAGTTGCAAATCTCCCACCACCTCTACAACAAGACTTTCAAACATGCCATGTCAATCATTGTGGCTGTGGAGAAGCTGAAGAAGATACCCGTTCCCTGCTCACAGGCCTTCCAGGATGATGACTTGAGGAGCCTCTTTTCTGTCATCTTTGAAGAAGGTACTTAATGAGAGCTGAGGGCAGACAGGAGATCTTCAGGCATTTCCTTCTCACTGTCCAAAACTCAATAGTCAACTAAATTCCCCCAAAGCTGAAGCCCTTTAAAAGTAGAAGGCCCAGCGATGAGAGGAAAACAGAGAAGCCTAGAAGCCAAAATAATCATCCCTTGAGTTGAAACTATTCTTAAAGTAAGACCTTGATAACTACTCACATTTGCAAATCTCTCCATCATTCTCAGAGTGCTTTCACTTACATTATTTCCTGCAAGTCTCACTGTGTCCCTGTTGGGCCAGTGTTATTGCCTTCGCCATTCTACATAAGGAGCTCTATTGACGGTCCACAGCAAGCAATCGAGCTGAAGCTTGAATCCACATCTTAAGGTGCCAGGTCCAGTGTTCTTACCCACCTCAACTTCCTCCCCACCAATGTTATAATCGAACTTTGGCTGCCATGCTCAGATGTCGTCCAAGCAACCAAATTCTGCTGCCTCATATCATCAGGCGTGTCCTTCTGATTTTCTCTCTAACCAATATATGTATTCCACATTTCAGAACCCATCATCTGTGACAACTGGGATGAAGGTTATGTATGTGATGCAGCCATGCATTCAGTGAACTGCAGACTCCGGGACATATACCATAAATCCCTGGTGCTGTCCGGTGCATGTGAGCTGCAGGCTGTCCACCTCAATGGAGAGAATACAAACCAACAAGGTAACTGGGGACAGCTTGATTCCTTTCTTGTTCTCCTGGCAGCTTGATAATTATTCACATTTTTCAACAAAGTGGACCATTAGTACAAATTATCAACATAAGTGAGAAAACCTCCAATAAAGGACATATAAACTTGTGGTTTTGGTCCTAGTAATAACACCAGATTGATTCCTTTAGCACATTCATTTTTCAGCAAGAGATGTGACTCTGAGTCATTAGAACACTCAAGCATACCCAGGACCATTGTCCAGCCAAGTCACTTAATGAGAGTACAACGTCACTGCTTCCATTGGAAAGGGGTCGTTTGATGGACATGACCTAACTGCCAGTGGGTTCTTTTTTCCTGTTGTTGAAATTGAGACTAGCATGGCGAAGAGATAATATGTCCATCCTCATTCCCAATCCTGCCCCCTTACACCCTCACATCCTTCCTGCCTAATACCAGATGGTTTCTTGTAGGGAAATTTTACTGACAAGAAGGAACTTATATCTCTCTACTGTAATTGGCTATTGTTTCAAAACTGGGGAGCCCATGAGTTGAGGGTATCTGCCTGGTATCTTGTCACTGTGGCTGAACTCTGCATGCAAGACTGTGCCCAAGGGAACAGCAGAAAGGAGCAGCCTGTTCTCTTCCAAGGCTGCTGACCTTGGAGATAGGCATCATTGGGGGAAAGCTTCCTGCTCTCTGCCATGCTTGGACAATCCTGTTTCTCTAGAACTGGATTGTAGGCACGACCTCAGGGCCTCCAAGTGAGACCACTGTGACTAAGGAAGATTGAAATGAGCGTCTCTCTTTGGAGCACTTTTCCCAGCTAAGCCTCTCATTTCCCAAGATCTTCCCACTTGCAGCTCTATGTTCCTGAAATAGATTTGTGCCTGATTTCTTTCAGGAGCCCAGCTTGATCTCTTTTCTTGCCTTTCACACTGATCAAAGCATTCCGCTCATGCAGTGGGCACTTCACTGGCCATTGACAAGAAGGCTTCCTGTTTTCCTTCAGTTGTTAAAAATTAGACCTCTAATTCTTCATTGCCACTGTGATGAAGCTCTGAGAAACCCCTAGACATTTTGGGATGGAAACTTGAATCAACCAAGTGGCCGTGATATTGTCTGTGAGAAGCCAAGTTATCCTATCTGTTAGGCCATAGGAACCCGAGTGTGGGTTTCCACAGAGGATGCTAAATTGTAGGAGTCCTGGAGTTGGGGTCCAATGGTTGGGCCAACCCTGCACTGCTGTGTGTCCCTGACCACAAGGCCCCTCTCCTTTCTCCAGTGGTGTTCTGCATGAGCTTTGTGCAAGGAGAAGAAGAGACTGACAAGATACCTGTGGCCTTGGGCCTCAAGGGAAAGAATCTGTACCTGTCTTGTGGGACGAAAGATGGGAAGCCCATCCTGCAGCTGGAGGTGAGTGAATACCAGGGGCTGCTGGCCCTTCTCAGGCTTCTCTGAAGCACCCCTAGCCATCCCTTACTTCCAAGACAACCACCTTCTCCCCTCATCATATCTGGGAGCAGATGTATTTGACAATTTTGCATAAATGTAAATAAATTTAATGTAAGTGCTAAATGCATGCAAATTTCACTCCAACTAAGGAAAATGAAATCATCCTACTGATGTTAGTATGTCCTACTATTGTTACCACCCCACTGATTACACAATGCTACAGTTGAAAGGATGGCTGTCATCAGTCATCATCTCCACTCCACGCCCAAAATCACCCACCTCCCTCAGCCCCCAGCATTCCCAGCAAAACCTTCAATTCCAAGTTCAAAGTCACTCTGGCCAGTGCCATAAGGAAAAGTCTCAAGAAACCACATAATTCTGGAAGCTTTTACTTAATTTTCACTTTTTAAAAAAATTCTGACTTATATTATACAACCTAGCATTTGATACTAAGTTTCAGAAAAGGATAAGAGATCCTTTAGTCATCACACAGAAAGTTATGGTCAGAAAGATAACTCAGGAGTCTAGCTCCTGTTCCTGCATGCTGCTCATCACTTTCCTTTCTAGCTGACTCAGAGAACACCTTTACCAGAGTGTCTTTGCCCCTTCCCTCATAAAACTTCTTATTTATGTTTTTCTGCAGACAGTAGACCCCAATACTTACCCAAAGAGGAAAATGGAAAAGCGATTTGTCTTCAACAAGATGGAAATCAAGGGCAACGTGGAATTTGAGTCTGCAATGTACCCCAACTGGTACATCAGCACCTCTCAAGCAGAAAAAAAGCCCGTCTTCCTAGGAAATACCAGAGGCGGCCAGGACATAACTGACTTCATCATGGAAATCACCTCTGCCTAAGAATACTACATCCAGAGAGTCCACATGTGATGAATACAGCTTAAGAGTGGCAGAAGGGAATAGAAGGGTTTGAACATGCTGCAGGCTGCACTTCACTGTTGTCTAATCAATGCCCAGCTGCCTTCCCTATATTAGTGCTAAGGAGAGCTCCTGCCCAGCAGGCGGGTGGAGCAGCCCCGTCTCCCAGAGCCAATCCTCAGACCCCCTCTGCTGAGCAGGGCCTCTCTCACCTCTGCTACTCACTCAAAGTCAGCCTGGTGGAAACTTCTGCACTTCAGTTCAAAGAAACCCTCTGTCGTTTGCACCCAGCTTCTGATGAGCAACTGCTTAATTATTTATTTATTTATTTATTGGTGGGTTAGTCTATTTAATTTAATTCAAGGTGGCCAGGAAGCAGCACTGTCTGTGAATGAGCCCAATCTTCAACATCTATGGAACCAGTTTAATTTGGACTAGTGTACCATGTTTATACCAAGTCCTTTTACCAAGCCTGAAAATATGTCAGCTCAGATTATTTAAATAGGAATATTTATGAGGAAAGAAGGATGATCACACTGTTTCAATAATTCTGAAATAAATTTTGCTGAAAATAAATTACTGTCCACGTGGTAATTGACTTTTCTGGGACCTGACAAAGAAAAAAAAGAGAATTGGGACCATCAGAGTTCTCCTTGAGGAGCTGGAAGCCCACTCCTCATGACAGAGTGCTACAAATTACCAAGGAAAATCACTGGCCAGAAAAGACAAGCCTCCCTACCGTTCCCCTTCAGTTCTGTTTTTCAACAAAAGGACATTTGATGCACAATGGTCATAAAACAGGACCAGATGAAGCATTTTAAGGAGTAAGGGTGGGTGGTAACAGCTTCAATGATTTCTCTATTCAGTTATTCAACAAACACTTACTATACAAGTGCTATGTCCTAGAGGCTGGAAGTACAGAAACAAGAAAGGCAGGTAGGAGAGGCAGATGCATACAAGCAAAAATAAGGCAATGACAAGTAGAGGTGAGATCAAGGATGAAAGGAACAGTCAGAAAGAATGACAAGATTTGCTGTGAGGGACGAGGGTCAAGAGGGCGACATATGAGTCAGGCCTCAAAGGATGAGCAGGAGTTTCCCACATAGAAAGAAAGGAAAGGGCATTCTCAGTGGAGGGCCCAGTACGAACAAAGGAATGGAGGTACGAGGAGGAAGGATGCAAGCAGTACACTTCCAGGATGGCAGAAGTCACCAGAAGTAAAGTCAAAACACAAAAACAACCCAGGGAAAAAGTATTGTAACTCCTATCTCAGACAATGGGATAATTGGCTTGATATATAAAGAGATCCCTCAAACACTAGAAAAACAAGAACAAAAATCCAACAAAGCAACAGGCAAAAATCCAACAAAACAATATTTAAATGGGCCATCGACAGAAGAGGAGATGTGGTTAGGTCTTGGCGAGAGTAAAAGATGCTCAATATGACTTATAATAAGAAAGTTGCATTAACAGCTCTTTGAGATACCAATGTTCGCCTATCACATTAGCAAAAATCAAGTTTAACGACACATCCTTTCAGGAAGACTGTGGGGAAATCTTCACTCTGACACGTTACAGGAGGGAGTATAAATTGGTACAACTCTTGTAAAGGAAAAATGGATAATAACTATGAAAATTACAAACGCACATCCCCTTTGGGGCAGGAAATTCACTTCTGGGGATTTGTCTACAGATGGACACGCGCTGCTGTGACATGGCACGTGAAATTATTCATTGCACATTACTTGTTGTAGCAAATGATTGGAAATAATTCATGTCTATCAACGGGAGATTGGCTAAACGAATTGTAGGACATCATACAATGGAATGCTATGCAGCTATAAATAAGAATGAGAAAGTATTCCACACCAATATGGAATGTGCTCCAAGACCGCCTAAAACTAAAAATGAACAAGAGGCAGAAAGTGTTTATAGTAGCTAACTTTTATGTAACAAGGGGCAGAAAAAAATAGGGCAACACTATCCAACGTGCTCATATTTGATATCACAAATTTTGGAAGCTACATAAGAAGTTTGAAAAGCAGCTATGACAAGGCTGGAAGCAAGACATTTCTCTAGATACTTTCTATATGGTTTGATTTTTGAATCATGTGAATACATTACCTACTCAGAAATAAAGATGATAACAATTTTTTAAAAGACTTTTGTCCAGAAAATAATCAGTATATGACTTATTTGGGAAAAGAACTGTTAAAATGTGCCAGTCCTCAGCAGCTCACTCCTAACACCCTCTCCTCCTCCTTCCTCACAGCTCTCCAAGCTAGACCACAGGATACAGACCGAGGCCCGACAACCTGGCAGAGCCTTCTCTCCCACCTCTGTCTGCTTCGTAACTGCAGTGCAAAGGATGGGACGGCTGTTAGGAGCAGGCAGCCAAGTGGCGCGCCCATTCCGCAATATGTAAGCAGGTGGGAGGACGCAGGCAGCTGGTCTGCAGCAGAAAGCAGAGGTGTCCCTGGGAGCCCCAGCAATGATACTGTGCCCTTTCCTCAGTTGAGTGATACAATTCCACCCACTCGTCTCAGGTCCAAAAGAGACGATATGCCAGAAGGAATGACAAATTGTGAAGGCACCTCACCTTGCGAGGAAGCCAGATTCCAAATCACCTATGTGAGAGTAGGTTGGTACAGCCATTTTGGAAGGAAAATTGGCAGTGACTAATTTATGTTTAACATGCTTATGACTCAGCAATTCCACTATTTCATATCTTCCCTAAAGAAACAAGTTCAAGGATGTTTACTTTAGAATTGTTTATAAAACATTTAACAAAATAAACTAGAAACAACCTAAATTTTCATCAGTAGGGAAAAGGTTAAATACCTCCTGGTAAGTCAAAAAGAAAAACGTTAGTCCTGGAATGAAAAGAGATCCAGGCAAATCATCAACAGAAAAGCCAAGTTGCAGAACAGTTAAGAACTCAATCATGCCGTTTACATAAAAGAAAAAACACTGCACATCCAACATGCATAACCACATGCTTCTAAGAGTATGTGAGGCAGGGAGCCTTGGAAGGGGATTGACCAGCCTGAAAATAGTGGTTACTTGGGGTCAGGTGGGGTGGGGCGGGGGAGGAGGTCACCAAGAGAAACTTTAGCTTTGTTATAATGTCTGATTTTTTTATAAGAAGAACGTCTTCATGAATTACTTATGTAATTTTAAAACAATCTTCTGCGTCAAAGTGTTCAAAAGGCCTGGGTTTCAATTCCTGGATCTGAGCCAAAGACTAAAATTGGCCCTCCAAGGGCTACCCTGTTCCTGGTCTGGGGCCAAGTTCTCTCCCTGATACCGGCTCTCCTTGTTTCAGAACCAGGTGTCCTTATCCTGGAAGAGAGAAGTGGCCGCTTCTAAACGGGAAGGGTCACATGATTTGAGTGGGGAGAGCCAGATCTCTCCCCTCGCTGCACCAAGCACGCGAAATACAACCAGAAGTAGGAAGTCCTTCCAATGAGCTAGGAAGTCAATTTGTCTGCACCTCCAGCAGGTAACACACCACATCACCACAACTCCTACCAGCTTTCAAGGAGATACCTGGAGAGCAGAAGTTAAGTGCTTGTGAATTTGACTTGATGTCTCAGATTCTGTGACAGGCAGTCCGTGGGGTTAGGGTCTGGCTTATCCTACAAGCTTGGGCTGGAGTAAGCAAGTGTCTGGTGGGGGGAAGGTAAATGATGCAATGGTGTGTGGGAGCATATCTGGTCTGAAAGACAGGGTAGGGGGTGAGTGGCTGCTACGACGTCCTGGTCAGAGGTGGAAAGGGAAATCAGTGTGTTTTCTGCCCAGACCTTCTCCCCACCCCAATCCTCATCCCCCAGTACAGCTTGGCTGAACTACCCACAAACATTGGGTTCAACTGGAAGCCAGGGTGAGGATGCTCTAGAAAACCAGTGTGATGCCTGCCCAGGGGTGTGGGACCACAGTCGCAGCCTCCTCCCAGTACCTATCACATCTCACCCACATCCTGACTCCTAAATTGGCAGCTTGCAAGCAAGCTGAGTGATCAGATTTTCTCCCTTGGAAGGCCAGAAGCATTGCTTTTCTTATTTGTATAAGCATATTGTTTGCTTACACAAATAATCACGAAAATTCAAACCCCTCTCTGAAAGCAGGTCATGAAACCATGGAAATACAGCATGTGGACCCAGAAAGGCAGACTTGGGAGGGACAAGGAGGATGCCAGGGGCCTGGGCTGCTCTTAATTCAGGAGCCTCGCTGTCTCTGAGAACATTTCACCTTCTGGCAAACGGGGCAGCTGGAGATAGAGGGTCCAGGTGAGGCCTGTGCCTGGGCAAGTGGGGCCTCTGGGGACCAAGGTATGAGTGGTAACTGGTATCCAGCCATTCTCTTCCAGGTCCTGAGCTTCCCCACAGCCTCTTTGAAAGGGCCAATGCTTCTCTTTCTTTCCAACCCTCACCTCCAGCCCCTGTACCACTATCCCATCGGTCGTCAGGAACAAAAAATTTATGAAATCCTTCATCTGCCAGGGATCAGGAAGTGTGGACCAAGGGAGCCCCAGCCACCGCTTGAGCATCCTGACTTCCTGATGCTGCTAGTCAACATGAAGAAGCACCTGGCCAGAAGGGGACATGTATGGGGCCCGCCCGGTGGCACAGCAGTCAAGTGCGCACGTTCCGTTCCGGCGGCCCAGGGTTTGCCAGTTCGGATCCCAGGGGCGGACATGGCAACGCTTGGCAAAGCCATGCTGTGGTAGGCATCCCACATATAAAGTAGAGGAAGATGGGCACGGATGTTGGCTCAGGACCAGTCTTCCTCAGCAAAAAGAAGAGGATTGGCAGCAGTTAGCTCAGGGCTAATTGTCCTCAAAAAAAAGAAGGGGCTATGTAGTTTGCATTTGAAGGTTGGGTTTGGATGAGTCCTTGGAGCAGAGAGATTTGTGGAATCCAGAGACATACAGGAGCATCTACACACACTACGGTCTGGCCTTAAAATAAAATGTATCAGAAACATCTAGAAGAGGCATCAAGCACGGCAGCTGAGCCTCCGTGCCCTCCCAGCCTGGAGGGTGAGACCCTTGTCTCCAGTAGGGAATGTCCTCCTGATGCAACGTCAACCAACGTAAGCTTCACTGCCACAGCAGCAGGTCCAACTCCCTCCCGCAAAGGCCCTGCCAGGGCCCTAATCCTTGTAGGATGTTGGTTTTCCAACATTTTAACTTACAAACCATCTACAAGAATTTTGACAATCTGTGACCTCACCCCTCCACCAACCTACATTTTTCACCATAATTTTAAATAGCTAATTGCAAATGTTATCTCTGCAATCTTGTAAATTTGACATTTTAAAATAAAACTGTTACATCACTTTTGTAGATGTATCCAATGAAATCTCAATACCATAGTGACTTTTTCCTTGTCAACCACGTAAAGTTACCAACAATCTAAACAAATCTAAAAATTATGAACAAATTCTTCAACAGTCAGAAAATTTACAACATTCCTTTTTCTCCTAGAACTGACATTTCCATTCATTTCCCCCATGAAATTCTATGCTAATGTAATATACATTATGCTTAAAAGCATTTTGCTGATCATCCGTCT